TCCCCTCCTCTCCCCTCCCACCTGCCTGACACCCAATAAATGTTATTCTTATATGTGCACTTAGGTGTTGATCAGTGAAACCAATTTGCTGGTGAGTACATGTGGCGCTTATTTTTCCATTCTTGGGATACTTCACTTAGTAGTCTATTTTGCTTCAATAAAAGCAAACGCATTGTTCAAAGGGATTGTTATAAATCTACATTATAAATGTATGGTTACATGCAGGAGTCAAAGCAGGTAGGTCCCAACATGAAGGTTATTAAGTAACTAGACCTCTTTTCTTCCTTCTTTTTTCCCTCTGTCCTTCCTTCTCTACCTCTTTTTTTGTTTGTTTATTTAAAGAAAATATTTTATTGATTTGTTAAATGGCCATTCATCATTTCTCTGTGGCATCTACACATCCTAAAATCTCATTCATGGTCCTCACAGCTCAGATTCCCTCCATCTCTTTACTGTGGACTTTTGTTTTGTTTTCCCTTCACTCATTTTGATCTTCAAATTAACTTTTTCCTTTTTGGTTCTAGGCATATAGTAGGTGCTTTTCTCATTTTGATTAAATTTTAAATGATTATTGAAACCATCCAAACTAGCAATTATTCTAATATAGAATAATCGGAGAACTGGAAAACATTAAAAGTGGGAGTATTTAGTTATATATATTTAGATACATTAAAAATATCATCATGAGAAAAGTATTGGTCCCTCTCTTTTCTGAACTCCAGTGTAGTTTGTCTGTTCCCTTCTTTAATGGTTTTCTGTGCGCATGTCTTTATGTGTCCGTTAGATTCCAAACTCTTGCTGTCTACCTAGAATGAATCCATGTCCACAGCATCTCCCTGGAACTTCTTAGTTTCTTGGTGAATTGTTTTTGATGAATAAATAATATCGTTTATTTCAGGTTTAATTTTAAAGAGCAAATACAAATCTGTAGTTTCACTGTTCTCTATTGTAGTAACATACAGTGACATTCTAAATGAACATTAATTAGCCTTGGAGTTAAGGAGAAAAGTCATTAACCCAGTGCTTAATTCTATCTCTGGGACTCTCCATTCCAAAGTATCGGTGCAGCTAAAGATTTGGGTTTTGGAGTATTCTCACTGGCCTTTGCCTATTTTAAAAGCTACTGTTCATTGAAATCCCATCTGTGTTGAAGCTCTGTTCTGCCAAATTTGCAAAACTCATAGTACGCTGCATACCATTATCACCCACTGAATTGTTGACTAACACATCTTGACTTGAGGGCAGTGTTTTTCAAACTTTGGTGAGCATCAGAATCCCCTGGGAGGTTGTGAAAAGTACAGATGCCACACACCTTCCCCTGCGTGTTATGAATCTATAGCTTCAGGATGGGGCCTGGGTATCTGTAGTCGTAACACTTTCTGGTGGTCCTGGAACCACTTTTTGAGAAATACTGATGTTGAGTGAAAAGTTTACTTTGAATGGAGTTCCGTGATGATTCTTCTAAAAGTTGTGAGGCATTCTAAATGTATTTAAAAACTATGATATTGGCATGTTTATGGTATCTTTGGCATTGCAGAATTAGTAATAATTTATGTGGCAGTGCAGATGTAACTTTATATAGTACTTTCCTGGAGGTAGATTGATCGGTATATAAATAAATAAGTCAAAAAAAATATATTTATCAAAACCGCCATTTATCAGGAATAAGAACAAACAAAACTCAAGCTGCAATATTTTTTCTGCTGTTAATTTCTATAGACACAATATTTACTTCTATTTTATTCCACATTTTGTATGTCCTTTTTTTGGAGAAAATTTTCAGGACATTTAGAACATACAATCTAATGTGCCTCTAGTAATGGTCAGTATTTATTTGATGGTGGTAATGTTCATCTTAAGGCCAGAGAGAGTACTGAATTTCTTAATCATCAAAAAGAGTTTGAGGATTAATTTCAGCATCATATGTTTTTGTTAATACTGATTCACTGAACATCAAAATGAATTGATAATACACAGAAACTTAATGCAGATTTTATTTATTCTAGCTAAATTAATGAATGACGTGTTCCAGTGAGGTCATTATAATTCATATGCATCGATATTCAATATAATGCCCTCTTCACTCTTTTTTTTTAAAACTTTGCAAATGCTTTTTTATAAGATGAGTGTAGCATTCTTTAGATACATTGAAAGGTTGGGAATTAGGAGAATTACTGTGGAACTTGCCTTATAAATTTGCAGCTGATGAATGCCTTAATCTTTTATTTCTTATTTTTTTAGGGACTTTCTCCCTCGAGGGTCGGGCATTGTAACAAGACGACCTCTTGTGCTGCAGCTAGTTACTTCTAAAGCAGGTAATGAATGAGGTGTTTACTGCGTGGGTGAGCACATCCCGCAGCACCTGTTGCCTCCATGCCTTGGTGTTGGGTTGTACCAACAGAAACGTTTTTGTGATCACTCTGCTGTGGGCAGCTGCCTACGTTTCTCTCCAGAATGCTCCCTTCTTCATCGCTCTTTTAATTCTTTTGATTACATTAGAAAATCTCATTTGCATGTGTTTTTTTTTTAACAACTACTATTTTGTATGCCTAGAAAATAATATTTGCTGCTTGTAATCCATCTGTATCATTTTACAGTACAGCATAACCACTAATACTCCTTTGGTATATGTCGTTCCTGTGTACGTGTGTGTGTATGTGTGTGTGTGCTTGGGGATTTTTTAAGTCACAAAATCCCACAACCATGTAATCTCTGTGTGTATGTGTGTATGTGCATGTGTATCTAATTTATATTTATATCTAATGTGCTGTGCTTGCTCTTCTCCTGAACACCATGCTAATTTGATAGGCAAAGGATGCTTTGTTTTCATTTTATTTCAGCAGCTGGTGACATTGAACTTTTTTCCATGTTTATTTGCCATTTGTGTTTCTTCTCTTGTGAATTGGCTGTTTTTACCTTTCCCCATTTCTTTTTGAGGACTTTACTATATTTCCTATCAATTTCTTTGAGTGCTTTAGATTTAAGCACTCATAAAAATCATGCCTCATAAATTGCAAATGTTTTTAACAGCTTCTTTGAGATATAGTTATATATGCCATATAATTCAGCCAATTAAAGTTTACAATTCAACAGATTTAGTCTATTCACGATCAGCTTTAGAACTTTTCCTCACTCCCAAAAGAAACCCTGTGTGATTTCTCTCTTACTTTCTTTCACCCCACCACTCCATCTCTGGGCACTAATGACCTACTTTCTGTCTCTACAGGGTTCCCTATTCTGGACATTTCATATGAATGGAATCATATAATACATGGTCTTTTGTAATTGGCTTCTTTCTCTTAGCATAATATTCCCAAGGTTCGTTCATATCGTAACAAATATTAGAACTTCTTTCCTTTTTAGGGCTCAATAATATTCCATTGTCTGGATAGATCACATTTTGCTTATCCATTCATCAACTGAGGGGCATTTGGGTTGTTTCCACTCTTTAGTTATTATGAATCATTCTTCTATAAGCATTCATACACATACATGTTTCTGTGTGAACATGTGTTTTTATTTCTCTTGGAAATATACCCCAGAATGTAATGGCTGGACCAAATGGTAGCTCTATGTTTAATTGTTTAAGGAACTAACAGACTGTTTTTCAAAGTAGCTGCATCATTTTACATTCCCACCAGGAGTGTATGAAGGTTCTGGTATTTCTACATCTTCCGCAACACTTATGGGTATGAAGTGGTATTTCATTGTAGTTTTGACTTGGATTTTCCTAATGACTAATGATATTGAGCATCTTTTCATGTGCATAATGATAATCTGTATAACTTTTTTTGATAAATGTCCATTCATCTCCTTTGCCCTTTTTAAAATTGGGTTCTTTGCATTTTTATTATTGCATTGTAAGAGTTCTTTATATATTCTAGATACAAGACTCATATTAGATATAATTTGCAAATTTTTTATCCGTTCTGTAATCTGTCTTTTCACTTTCTTGATGGCATCCTTTGAAACACGAAAGTTCTGAATTTTGATGAAGTCTAATTTATCTGCTTTTTCTTTCATTGCTCATGATTTTGGTTTATATCTAAGGATCTTCTGCCCAAACCAAAATTATAAAGGTTTATTCTATGTTTTCTTTTATGAGATTTATAGTTTTGCTCTTACATTTAGGTCTTTGATCCATTTACAGTTAATTTTTTTATGAGGTAAGTGTCCAACTTTATGGTCTGCATGTGGATATCCAATAGTCTCAGCGCCATTTGTTGAAAAGACTATTCTTTCCCCATTGTATGATCTTGGCACCTTTGTCGAAAATCTGTTCACCATAAATACATGGGTTCATTTTTGGATTCTCAGTTCTGTTCAACTGACATATACATCTATTCCTTGTGCCAGTATTACACTCTCTTAATTACCCTTGCTTTGTAATAAGTTTTGAATTTGAGAACTGTGAGTCCTTCTACTTTGTTATTTTTTTTTCAAGATTGTTTTGGCTTTCCTGGGTCCCTTGAAATTCTATGTTTAGAATCAGCTTATTTTATCCCAGGAATGCAAAACTGGTTTAACATCTGAATGTCATTGAATGTAATGTATCATATCAATAGAAAGAAAAAAGTTAGAGGATCATTTCAATAGACTCAGAAAGAGGATTTGACAAAATTCAATACCTACTCATGATAAAAACTCCTAGTAAACTAGGAATATGTAGAGGGGAACTTCCTCAATGTGATAAAAGGCATCTACAAAAAACACATAGCTAAAATCATACTTAGTGGTGAAGGACTGGGTGCTTTCCCTCTAAGATCAGGAGCAATACAAATATGTCTGTTCTTGCCACTTCTATTCAATACTGTACTGGAGATCTAGCCAGGGCAATTGAGGAAAAGAAAGAAATAAAAGGCCTCCGTATTGGAAAAGAAGAAGTACAACTATTTCTATATGCAGACGATATTATCATGTATATAGAAGATTGTAAGGAATCCACTAAATAACTATTAGAACTAATAAATTATTTCAGCAAAGTTGCAGGATACAAGATCAATACACAAATACCAGTTGTATTTCTATATACTTGCAATGAATGATCCAAAAATGAAATTAAGAAAACAATTCTATTTATAATAGCATAAAAAAGAATATACTACTTAGAAATAACTTTAATGAAAGAAATGTAAAATTCATACTTTGAAAACTATAAATCATTGTTCAAAGAAATTGGAGAAGGTCTAAATATTTGGAAAAACATCCCATTTTCATTGATTGGAAGATTTAACAATGTCAATACTCCCCAAAGTGATCTACAGATTAAATACAATCCCTGTCAGAATCCTAGCTGAATTCTTTGGAGAAATTGTAGATATTTTTAACTAATTTTTTATTGTTGGAAAATCTGTACTAAGTTTGATTCTAAAGAATGGAAGTGCTGTCCATGGAAGTGCTGATTCAAGTGCTGTCATTTGAGAAAAGTGAGTTATTTGCAAATCTAAAAGGCAGCAGTCACTATTCTAGGTCCTGAAGATATGGCAATAATTAGGACAAAGTCTCCATCGTTCTGGTGATTTATATTTTGGTTATATCATTTTTAATATGTAGAAGTTTTACTCTTTATGGTTGTGAAATCTGCACATTTAAATAAAAGTAAATATTTAGCACAATATTCTTCCTTTTCATACTTTTATCATATTTTAACTTTTAGTTCTTTACCTCAAATTTGTTTTCATGTATGCTGAAACAATTTTTTCTCATTCTCCTTTATCTTATATTGCATTCCTATAACTACCACAATCTATTTCTGAATATCTTTCTGTGTTCTTGTAACAATTCCAAAGTGTTTTACTTTTGTGGGTTCATAATTTCTTTAATATTTTATCTGTCAGGGCTGCAGTCTTCTCCCCATCACTTATTTTTATTTAGGGATTCTATTCTGTTTGTGTGGAAAAGTCTAGAAAAATTTTATAGAGACAAAACTATTGCTACTAGGATTATATTAAACCTATAGATTCATTAGAGAACAATTTATGTCTTTAAAATATTCATAATTGTTTTTCCAATCCAAGGACTATATAACTTTCATTTGTTCAAATCTTTTTTTCTATTTCTTTGTAAAATTTTTTATGGTCTTTATATAGTGTCCATGAATTTCTAGTTAGGGTATTCATATTTACTTTTTGTTGTTCTTATAGTTTAAACGGTTTATTTTAAAACTATATTTTCAAACTCCTCATTGCTGATCTATGTAAAATTCTGCCGCTTTTTTTAATTTTAATTTTTAATTAACCATCTTATTCTATATTTGGCAGATTAAAATGTTTTAAATTGATTCTCTTGGGTATTTTAGTTACATAGTTATTTCATCTGCGTTTCTTAATTTATTCAATAAATACTTATCATGCTTCGCTTGACTAGCCTAAAAAAAAAAATACTTATCATGCAAATACTGAGATGGCTGAAGAAAGAAACTTATGACCAGAATATTAATAAGCTTCTTTGCAGTGGGGACCTTTTGGTGAGAATAGACATGGGAAAAATAGTCTTACATAGTGAGCTCCTTCAAGGAGGTATAACACATGCTTCTTCCGTGTACCATTTTGTGCCTTGTACGTCCTTAACCATTCTTTCTTTACGCCTGTTAATCAGTGACGACCATACCACACACTTCACCTCTCTTTTCATGCAAAGTAGACTAGAAATTCTTTCCTTAGGGAAAACCGTCCTGTTTCTACAATTTTTCAGATGCCTCAAATGGGGCTTTTGCGTTATAGCACTCTACTCGAGCTGATGCCTGCTGAGAGCTGGGCTCATTTTTTGTCATACTAAGTGAATTTGCTCATAGGAAAATCCCATGTGACCATAGGCTTAGGTTGATGGAGTATCAATAAATGGCAGGAAGAAGCAAGCTGGGGTGTGTGTCCAATGTTGCTGCAGTTTGCTCGTGCCTTCAGATCTTAACTGGGATCAGTTTCATAAATAGGTCTTCCTTTTGATTGATCCATTCAGTGAGTATTTATTGAATGACTGCTATGTGCCAGGCAAATATCACCATCATCGTGAGGCTTACATCCTAGTCGGGGAGAAACCAACAATAAACAAAACAAATATACAGAACATTGGGTAATGAAGAAAGTGAGCATTGAAGCCATGCTGGTATTTGTGTAGACAGAGGGAAGCTAGAAGGTTGCAAACAGGGCCACTTATGTGTTTGAAGTTTAACAAGGAGGCCAGCAGGGCTGGAGGTGGGGTGAGTGAGGAGGGTTGTACAAGTTGGGGTAAGGAGAGCTACTGTTGCTGAAACAGTAAGAAAGCTCATTGGGGAGGGTCTTGTGGGCCAGGGACCTTGAAAGGGAACATGATGGGA